AAAAAAAAAAAAGTAAGCAAAAGAAAGAATATTAAATAGCTTATCACAAAATAATCGCCGTAATTTGAAACTTTAAACAGCACATTAAGAAACACAAGCTCCTTGTGTAGTTTAAAAATTCTTACGAAAAATAATAGCTGCACATCAGAGAAGGTATCATTTTGCAAAATTTCAGTAGTGAAACGTATAAACCTACATTAATACGAGTTTTGAGCTCACATGACTTAGGACAATAATTTAAGCTAATCTTAAAACGTGGTCAGAAGAAAAAGCAAAAAGTGAAGATATAAAAACAGAGAAGTCAAAGGCACTAACAATTTTCCTCTCGTGCTACGGCGCTCTGTTGGGCTGACGAGCATGATGTCTCTACACAAGTAAATGTTCCGATCGTCATTTTTTTAATCCCTTTCAACATCAAGTTTTCACAACAAGAAAACTTTAGCGACAAAACGCTAGTTTTTTTGATGTCCTTCTTTTCAAAAGCCCAATTATCAACGCCAGATTAGCCAATAATCGTAAAGCTGAAAAAAACAAATTAAAGATACATTCAATTTGTTCAAAATTTTGCGTTTTCACTCTTCCTCTTCCTTTTTTTTTTTTCGGTTTCAACGAAACACAAGTATTGAATAACACGCGAATGGTAGACGACACTAATCAATGACAAACGTAACCCGTTAATCAATTCAATTTTTATCAAAGCAGTTAAAAAACACAAAAAAAAAAACGAGAAAAAATACTAAAGTCAGCACAAAATAATGTAACGTAATATAACGTACATACCATAAACAAAATTATATGGGAGAGGTCATCGAGCAAGAAAAAAATCCATGCTATGGCAAACATAAATAACACTATTAATGTGACCTCAGTTATAATGAACGAACAGATTACAAAAACTTCTTGGGTGATCCCCTTCCCCATACCCTCACTGATTTATCTCCCGTCTTTTTTCCTTACCGATTAAAACAGATCGCTTTGGACTTTCTGCTCTTCTAACCCCTTCTTCAACCGCCTTATAATTACCGAATGTTGTAAAAAACCTTATAATAAAACCCCCTGCCCATCAAAAAATTGATATATTTACAAAAAGGAAACGACGCTATGCTAAACCAATATTCCCGCATATTTTTCACCACACAATTTCTCCTCATTGTTTCCCCCAATTTTCAAAATTAATTCAAATTTATAAACACCCTATTTATTAAACCAAAAAGATTAAAATTGAATATTAGAAGCTCACTTCACATCTCTCATAAAAAATTCATTCAAAAAATTAAACCAATTAAATAACAAACTACAAAAAATCTTTTTTAACGCTATAGTTCTATCAACTTAATAAAGTAAATTTTAAATGTCTTTAACATTTACATTTTTTTACGACTGAAATCAAAGCACTCAAATTCAGCTCTCAATTAAATCCAGATTTCAAACCATTTATACATCCCAAAGAAGAAGTAAACACACACACGCACACACACATCCAAATATACTACAAATACTATAGATGACAATTTTAGAAAAAAAAAAAATGAAACCACTTTTTATTCCCCCTTTACATCTTATGTGCTGTCATTTTCAAAGTCCTCACAGTTAGCTTCAAACAGGTTAAAAGAATTCAAGCGAAGCTGTAACCAATTAATTCATTGTATATCCTTTACGCAATAATCAAACATACCCACACATACATATAAAAACATAAGACACATAAATCTCACTAATTTCTTTGTCTCAGCAATCAAAGTAAATATACTTTATGGTCAATTGCAATCAAACAAAACATTACTTTGTTTACCAATATAATATAAATATACAAATATATAGTACATATATCAAAGTACCAGGTAATATGATTTAGGAAGACAGCACAACCACCTGCTACTGTGGCAACAGCACCACTGACCACCAACTGCAGCAGCGGCAACAGCAGAAGAACCAGCGTCAAAGTAGCACCTAGAAAAGGCGCCAAAAATATCCAAATATGTGGTGGGTAAAAACGATCAACTGCAGCGGCAGCAGCAGCAGCAACTACAGCAGCCACAGCAACAGCCCGTTGCCCACTCATCTTCTCCCACTCATCATCGTTACCATCACCCACCAGTTCACTGGTAGGGCTCAGGTCATTCAGCTTCAGAAGCAACGCACAGAATGCACACAAGGTAACAGTTTGGCACTTCGACATTTTCACACTCTCATTTACTTACTCATTTTTTCCCGCTAAGAAAAATTATTCATTTCTTTACAAACTTCTCTCCAGCATACCAAAAGGAAATTGTAAAAAATAAAAAAAGAACTTAGGTTTTAACCACACACCTTTAAACAACTTAATTTTTCATTTTTCCAACAAAGTTTTCCCTTTCTTTTTTTCTTTTCAAATACTAAATGGCATTATTAAACTGCCGTATAAGACCAATTAACCTCTTGTTTCCAAATCCTCTGCAACCCTCCGCCCTTCCAGTCGTTCCTACCATTTATATAAACCAATAAATAGAAATACACCACCCTACCAAAAACAAATTTCATTCACTCCTTATTGCCGTATAATATACGACATTATAGAAACAGAAGATCCGTTACTTTTTTTAAAGATTTCCTATCCTCTAGTCTGCTTCTTTTTTTTTGTCAAAAAATTTGATTAACTAATTTACTGTTACTGCTGTAGAAAAACTATCGAAAAAAAGAAAAATAATGAAAACAAAACAACAGAAATAAAAGCGTAAAAGATTCTGATAGCCTTTTCCA